CTTATATATAATGGAACTCTGGCGATGCTTGGGCCCTCAATAAAACTGAGGGCTTAGGGGCTTAGGGCTTAGGGTTTTAGGGCTTTAGGGCTTAGGGGTTCAGGGTTTAGGGCTTTAGGGCTTTAGGGCTCAGGGCTTAGGGCTCAGGCCATGGGTGTGGGATTTCAGGCCAGACTCCCAGATAGAAGCTTCTATCGAGTTTAAGTTTAAGCATGTGTGGGCTTGATGGCCTTTAGGCTGGATTCTCCCGACAATCCTGGAACAGGGGGGTTTGGCCGCAGGGTTGTGGATTTACTGATATTTAATAAATGTGTGGGGCTTGCGGTTTAGGGTTTAGGCTTTAGGATTCAGGGCTAGGGTTTGGCAATGCATGCCAGTCAAGAAACTGCTCATCTCTGCACGTCTGCAGCCGCAATCCACCTGGTTGGGAAGAAAGGGTTCAGGATCTAAGCTTCGGGTTTTCAATGCTTTCCATGTAAGGAAACCCTGAACCAAAGACAATACCTATGCTTGCGTGGTCGCTCGGTGCCTTCGTTTCCCTAGACCCCTTGAAGGATCTTCGAAATTAGAACCACAACAATCAGACATAGTGGGTTCTAGTACTTGGAGCATCGGCGGATTTGGTGAGTAGTTGTTTGACATACTTATAAGTACCATAACCCCAATTCGGGATCTCTTTTGGGGTTCTTTTAAGACTACTTCTACTTGTGACCGTTTAGGGTTTAGGGTTTAGGGTTTAGGGTAAACCCGAAACCCTGCACCCTACTAAGTCCCCATATCTGTACTTCTTAAATCCCATGAACCTCCAAGTAAGCCTTTGAAAACTGGCCGTGAGACTTGAGGGGGTTCAGTTCAGAGTTTGGGGTTTAGCGTTTTTAGGGTTTTGGGGTTTTGGGGTTTAAGGTTTAGGATTTCGGGTTAGGGTTTGGGGCTCCGAGTTTAGGGTTTGGGGCTTTGCTGGTTCAGGGCTTGGGCTGTCGGGCTTCAGGATTTCGGGCTTAGGGTCTTTGGGATTAAATCTTCGGTAGACCCCTGGAAGCCTTAAAAGTAGAACCCCTAAACTACTACAGGCACTTAATCGCAACCCCCAGATTAAGGGATCTACTTTTTGCTGAAGCCTCTTAATAAGAACCACCACTAAGGGGTCTAGTTTTTGGATCCTCCCGGGGGTCTGGATAGGGCTTGGGATTCGGGAGCAGCGGCGGAGCCGGCGGGGTCGAGTAAAGGGACCCCTGTTAGGGTTTAGGGTTTAGGGCTTAATTAGGGTTTAGGGTTTAGGGTTTTAGGGTTTAGGGTTTCGGGTTGAGGGTTTAGGGTTTAGGGTTTGGGATACAAACATCGGCCACCCTAATAACCTTGCCTAACGCAGGGGCCTTAAGGTAATATTGTTGTATATTTATGATAAACGAATCCTGTAAAGCAATGTTGCCACTTACTGAAGCCCCTATTCGTCGTAGTTGCCGGAACGCTTGAATCAATGTCAAGGGCAAGAACACCACCCCAAATAGTCTACACAAGCTTTGCCAACTCAGCTACTATAACCCAACGCTCTCTTGCTCTCCCTAGTGCCACTCAGGTTCCCTCAAGGTTCTTTCAGGATACCTACTACCCAGCACTCTCTTGAGGATCCTATCATCTGGGAAAGGGCCAGGGTTTAGGGCTCAGGGCTTTGGGTTTAATGTAGGGGCCTTTAATAATTAGAATGGGGTTTTAAGGCCCATTATACTCTAATAAAGGAAGCAAGCCCCAAGAGAGTATTGGTAAGTATGCAGGCCCCTACATTAGGGTTTAGGGCTTAGGTTCCAGGGCCAAGGCACATTCCAAGTTCGCCAAGCTCGTATCTCCGACCGCGTGAGGAGTGGGCCCTGTCTCGCTCTCGGGCTTTTGTCTTCAGGGTTTAGGCAGGGTTTAGGCTTTAGGGGGTTTAGGGCTTAGGCTTCAGGGTTTAGGCTTTGGGGTTTAGGGCTTAGGCTTTAGGGTTTAGGGTTTGGGGTTTAGGGCTTAGGCTTTAGGGTTTAGGGTTTAGGCTTCAGGGTTTAGGGCTTAGGGCAGAGAGGATAAGGCCGGCTAGTAAGGATTTAGACTTTAGTAAGCTCACGGTGGAAGTCCTTGCTTGTGACCAACTCAAGACGCTTGCGCACCTTACACTGCAAAGCACCGATTCCAAACCTTTGACTTCACGCTTCCCAGGCCTAGTTTAAGGCTTTGGGTTATGGTTCAAGTTTCGGGTTCAAGCTTAGGGTTAAAGCTTGGGGTCAAAGTTCAGGGTTGCGAAGGTTTAAGATTTGCCGCTCGAGGGTTCAGGTTTGCTTCAGGGGTTAGCGCTCAGGGTTTGGGGTTCAAGATTCAACTTGCGGGTTCCTATACCTTAATTGTCTCTATGGATCCCTCCACAGTTTCTTTGGGTTTAGGGTTTAGGGTTTAGCGTTTAGGGCCCTAAACCCTAAACCCTAAACCCTAAACCCTAAACCGCTCCGGGTTTAAAGAAGCTTGTGCTTGATTGAAGGGGTTTGGAGTCTCTGGATGTTTAAACTAGGCCAAAATCCCGCACAAGCAACCGATGTTTAGGGTTTAGGGTTTAGGGTTTAGGGTTTTCTGAGCGTAAACCCTCGGATTTCCCCTAAACCCGTACGTAGGGTATAGGGTTTCGGGAGCCCTCAACCCCGAGCCGAAGCACACGAAGGACCGCGGAGCCTAAAAGCCATGCCTAAAGCACCCCCCCCCTGGCTCGCGAAAACCCCTAATGCAAGAAAGGGGAAATTTGCTTCGGGGGCTTATTCTAGATTCTAGTAATATCGGGACCTTCATAATGAGAGTAGGGTTTGGGGCATATAATAATATAGAAATATGAATATATTAAGGAACCCGCAAAGCCCTATTCTAATTACTCAGGCCCCTGCATTATGCGTGTAAGGGGAACTATAAGAGAATGCTGCTACGAGGTATTCAGGCCCCTGTATGAAACCCCTGATTCAGCAACATCCCTCAAGGGCCTCCACCTATGCATTGCTTTAGGCTTTAGGGTTTAGGGTTTAGGGTTTAGGGTCTAGGGTTTAGGGTCTAGGGTTTAGGGTTCAGGGTTTAGGGCTTAGGGCTTAGGGTTCAGGGTTTACGGCTTAGGTTTCAGGGTTTAGCTTTAGGGTGCAGGGTTTAGGGTTTAGGGCTTAGGGTTCAGGGTTCAGGGTTCAGGGCTAAGGGCTTAGGTTTCAGGTTTTAGGGCTTAGGCTTAGGGTTTAGGGCTTTAGGCTTAGGGCTTAGGGGGTCTAGTTGCTTCAACCTCACCCGGCTCCTGGAGACAGCAAGTCTCGAAAGTACGCCCATCCGTCCAGCACCTCGGATTGGTTCAGAATTTATAGGACTTAATGTTGGAGCCTTACTAATTAGAATAGGGTTTTGGGCTCTTTTCTGGTATAATTATAATAAGGAACCCCCAAAATAGTATTGGTAGTTATTTAGGCCCTTATATTCGGGTTTTGGTGTTTAGGCTTGGGTCTGTGGTGTTTAGGGTTTAGAGTTTGGGGGCTTTTAACCTGCAGGGTTGCAGGATGGGAGGTGGGCTTTGAAACTGAGGCTCGTGTGCTTCGAGCCGAACATCTAAGCTTTCGGGCCATCTGCCTTCTGCTCAAACTTAGGACCTGAATTTTCAGGGCCATTCACATTTTTTAGTGTGCCTCCAATCCTAGAGGGATGCTGAATAGCCGAGATTGGCTGAATTCGAATCATGTCTTATTAGGGATAACGGTTGAGGAAAAGTTCACGCTCTCGTCGGACGGAGGTTTAGGGTTAGGTTTATGGGGTTTAGGGTTTTGGGTTTGGGGTATAGGGTTCAGGGTTTAGGGTTTAGGGTTTAGGGTTTAGGGTTTTGGGGTTCAGGGTTTAGAGACATAACCTTGCTGCCGCATAAAGCTAACACACCCAAACCCCGAACGTCAAAGCCCCCTGTACCAGGAATCGAACCCTGCTGAATCCTTCAGCACTGTAACACTCTGTGAAAAAACCTATGAACCGCAACATGCCCCTACAAATCCTGAACAGAAACAGAAACAAACAGAAACAGAGAGAGAGAGCGAGAGCGATCAAGAAACAAAAAACGCACACACACA